AGGATATAGTAGCCTCATATTTCTGCAACTAGGTTTACTGTGCTAATCATGTAATTGGGGTTAACCATCTAAAATAAGTAATCCACCAAACAATTTAAACATGGTTTTATATCTAAGGTGTACGGTTGTGAGAACAAATTATTACTTACACATGAAGGCAATTAGTAGGTATTGATGAAAGGCCATCATTCATAATAATGCGGAGGCACTGTAATGGAAACAATATCAACCAATTCAAGAATTACATTTACATTAGTTGACACCACTCCTAATAATCATCAAGCAAGTAAAATGATAAACAGAAAGGATGTAACAGATGGTTTATGATAGAATATAACATGTTCTGCTTCATATAATTTACTAAAAGAAGTAAGCATTTTAAGATTCAAAATTTGTTAAGGATAGACATAAAGAATACTCCGTAACACTTTATTCTGGAAAGGCTAGAACCATAATCGATAATAATTATCCTTTGTTAAGCATTTCTTGTTCATATCTTTTCGTCCAATGTCTCTATGCTTATTCATCATGAAATTACTACAAGTATTGGTTATATGATGATACCCAATAGTAGTATTAATAGCACCACGAGTTGGCATTCCAAGGTTTGCCATTTAACAACCACTAACGCACACATCATAATGGTGTCTAAGATCTAGACCATTAAATATGTCCATGAAAACCCAGAGTATCAATTGCTAGAACCAGAAAGTATATACGCCTAGACACGCAGGCATAAGAATTTGAAAGTATGTCAGAATGGAAACTTTTCTTCTTGATAAAACATTTTATGTTCTCACCTGGAATCCAAGAGAAATGAGATCCTTCTCAGCGGCATGCGCCACAGACCTGCACAAAAGTCAAAACAACTTGTAAAGGAGCAAGAGATGATCTGGATACATCCAAAAACACTTCAACCAAGCAGAAGATCAGTAAGGAAATAACTTTTCAAAAACAATGAACACCTTAGAATGTCAAGAATATATGGCCAGCTATAATCCAGCTTTTCTCCATGCCTCTGAAAAAAATATATATGCAGCGTGCATAAATGTGGGTGTGAAGAAATAAAAGACTATAGAATATATAGATGCAGCGTGCATAAATTTTAAATCACTTCTAAATATGTTTATTACATTACAATACCTCCAAAACATGAAGAAGAATTTTAAGCAATGCAACACGAATATCAATGCTTTGTGTTGAAGAATAAAGGGTTGCTAAGGGAGATATGATAGCACGTTCGAGTGATCTCATCTCTATATTCTCAGGGCAAACCTGGTGGGGTCATCAAAAATAAAACATTGTTTTCAAGTCATCATAAGAAAATACCAGCATAAAAAACAACACTAATATTGGTTCTTGGATCATAGCTTTCCATTAGCCTAGGTATGCAATCTTTTTTAGGTTGTTGGAGAATGCCCTGCCTATACTTGTGCATAACTCTTGGGTACATATTATATATATTTAAAGTTAACCTTAAAAAAATTACAATAATGGAAATGATGATGGTACTTGTTATCTATCTCGCATTGATTGATGGTTTATGAGACCTTAGTGTAATTTAGAATTTTTGGCAAAACTATACCCTTTGAGCCATTTGAGGACCAATTTTGGGTGTAGTTAGGCCCAATTAACATGATATCAAAGCCTACCCATTTGTGGTTTATATTGTTACACGACCGCTAATTTGTTACCCCATTGATATTGGGATTCAAATGCACACGATGTTAGGCAAATTTGCAAGACTCAAAGTATGAGAAAGATATGTTGAACTCAAGATACAATTGATTTCATATTAGAAGAGATGGATGTCATCGGCAACAATGAGAATTAAATGGAGTTACTACCCCTGCACAAGCAAGAGCTTTAGATATATCACTATAAAGATTATAGAGGCCCTCCAACTCATGCCTGGTACAACTAATACTCTTTGACCACAAACCTTGAAACTTGAAAGAAGCAATGATCAAAGATATGTGGTGGCGCAACAATTGGTAGCACGAGTAAGTTTGCTTCGAAGGAACAAATAAAAATGCAAATCTAGGAAATACAAACTGGATGGCCAGGGGTAGGCTTAGCACTACCAAACCTTCGTATCGAAGAGGTAGACCCATCAGCCAAATTGAATACATGATGTGTTTATCTAGAGATAGAGAATAAGCTAGGTTGACCTATCCTATGGTTTGTGGCCCCTAAGTCAATCACTTATTGAGAAGAAGATGAAGTCAAACATGTGTTAATTAAGAAAATGAGATGCAACTCC